ATTTCTCGTCGAACTGCAGGAACCTGGGAAAAAACAAGTTCGCTGGCTCCTTACCACTGACATTGGCCAACCTTCAAAATTTGACCACAATGTGAGTGCGCCACTTGTAGGGAAGGGCTGAATGTCGACGTGAGCAACGAGCCGAATCGTCGTTCGCTAGAACTGGTTCGATTGTATGTCGAACAGCTTGGTCGCATTGAACTTGAACGGTTCGACGCGACACAAAGGTTCGCGACACACCTTGCGGGGTTCGTTGCGGCCAGTAAAAATCCCCCGCCAGTGCGTCCGTTTTCCACTCGTCATAATCAGAAACTGGTTAGGGTTGACCGTCATTCTCGCCATCCAACCTCAGATCTTGGGTACATTACATTACATCACTTGCATCACTTTCGACCATGATAGTGCCAGTTCCGCACGGCGAAATGCCAAATCTGGCAAAATGGCAACCGGTGAAATGCCAGATGTGGCAGCGAAATGCCACTTTTAATGTGACAATGAAATACCCCTCAACCCCACACAACAGGTTTTTGAAAAAGATGACCATATTCATGCGATTGTAATGAGATTGCCTGACGAGCCAAAGTAAGTTCGAGCTTGGCCGAACCTTGTGAAGTTCAGCCAAACTAAGAAGTTTGACTGTGTGCAGGCGAACCTCGAACCTTAACCAGACATTTTAAAACCCTAGGAGCCATGGATGACGCAGCGAAAACTTTGCATTACGTAGAAGAGAGTACAATGAGATAGAGCTAGTTGGGGTGAAACAAAGGACCTGTTCAATTTAGGAGAGGAACTCTAGAATGAACCTAAAGTGAACCTGGAATGAAACTGAGTTGTAAAAATGATATAAAGGACAGCATAAAGTACAGAGCGAAAACTAGCCTACTCCACCACATCCCCAGGCTAGGTGAAGCCCTGAAGAGGAGCACCTAGCGGAATGGAACACCCTCCGAAAGGGTGCGACTCGCGAAGAAGGTGCTTGCTGCGAGCGACCGTGAAAGACAAGATTCTCAGTGAGATGAATCATGCTCGCACTGTCACAAGTAAGCGACACAGAGAGCTGGGAGTGACCCAACTCTCTAAGGAGGTAAGAGAGCCAACGAGCCTACTGAGCAGTCAACGTGCAAGCGTGCAACTTAGCCAGCGAAATGCACGGTGCAACAAGCATGGCTATGGCTTAGAGTGTGTTCACAGAATTTTCACTCCACGAGCTGCTCTTTTACTCCCTCCACAAGATGGTATGGGATGGAATCGGGTTCGTATGTGACTGCCGCATTTGAGGAGTTCGCCACGGATTGCTTATTGCTAGTTCCCGTGCCAGCATTGCTAGATGGTTCTGCCAAAGAAAAAACGTACTAGAAGTGCTCTTAAGCTAGACTAGTGCTGGTCGAGAAAACCCTAGGATATGAAAACCCTATGACCAACAAATGGGCCAGATCTTGTCGACCTGGATTGGGAATTGGTGGACTGGTTGGAAGACATAGAATCAGTGTGGTGAAGTGCAGTTTTTGTACTTTGTTGGCCTGTTTTGTGCTTGCATAAATTTCGTCAGATTTCATATACGAGGGGGTTCGTGAGTTTTATTCGCATACAAAATCTCGAATTTGCGTTTTCGTCAAGACCTATATCTTTTTTTTCCACGGGCTGCCCAGTACATTTCTGGTTGAGTGTACAGCATGTACGATAGCGTATTGCGTTTAGCATATATACATCGCGTATATACGATATACGCCCGGTAGGCTGAGCGTATATGCCCGCTTAGCATGGTTGGTAATGACTCCATGCAGACAAGTCTGTTGGCTGGGTACAATACAAACACATCCCCTTTGCCACGTACAGTCAAAGGCAGCAAGCAACAGTCCATAGGGGACACAGTAGTATGGGAAAATGGAACAGCATAAGATCTTCACCATTGTATGCATTCTTCTCTCGATTGCTAATATATAGTGCTTTCCAGTAATCTTGCCAAATGCATTCCCTCGTCGTTATCTCATTAGGGACCTCCGTGATAATAGCTTTGTGGGCAGCATTCCTGCTTCGTTTGGTAGTCTCACAAATCTTCGTGTCTTGTAAGTGCTATTCTTCATTGGCTTCACAGGTCAGCCACAGCAAGCCAGACCCCTCTTGCTATTCCACGCCACGCCACTCATGTGGTTTGACCCAGAATGGAAGCACGTGAGTCTTGACTTGTGCATTGTGCATTAGCTCTGAGGTTTTTCGTCCAAGAATATGCTTAAAGGCGTTTAATTGGACGACAATGAGATATTGGCATTGAAACCCTAAGCTTTCTTTACTTTGTGCTGTTTGTAACAACGCGTTCTTTTAAGATCACGTGACTTGGCAATCAGTACGTCTAGGCATGAGCATTGTTGTACTACCAGTCTGCTGCAACCAATTTTGCATTGCTTCGCACCAACTGGTGATTTGAGTGATACTGGACTGCAATAGCTGAGTATTTCTGGGCCGCAATAGTTGAGTGATTCTGCACTCTCTCTGCACGTGCAGGGATCTGAATGGAACCACAGTCTCATGCCCTCCCGACTTCACCGAATGCGTGGTCGAGCAAAAGCCTCAAAGCGCCTTTTGCCGCTCTTGCCTCTCCTTCTGCACCACCTGTGTCAAGGCAGCAGCATGTGAGACACACTGAGCGATTCTCCCTTCTAACATGCTTCTAGCATGTGTCCTGATTGTTTCATTTCACCATACACTGAAAATCATCACTACCCGTAATCTCACACATGAGGGTACAAGTCAACAGGAAGCATCACCAATACTCCTGCTGCTTCACAAGCCATATTAGCGAGTGCACCAGCCCGATCAAGCTGTGGTGCCCAGCGCGCCGCTTTCTTTCCATCCCGCTCCGTCCTTCTCCCATGTCTATCCCCTCCCTCCCCTCCTCCAGCGCCGCTCGCCCTATCTCCACGGAGCACCACAGCGTCTCCATCTGCCCCCACTGCCACCCCACCACCACCCCCGTCGCCTGCACCATCCGCCACCGTGTCTCGTGGCCTGTCAGCAGCAGCCATCGCTGGCATTGCTGTGGCTGCGGTTTCTGTGCTGGTGCTGCTGGTTAGTGTGCTGCTATGGTGGAGGGCCTCCAAGAAAGACGCAGCAGAAGGAGCAACTACAGCAGTCAAAGGGAGCAAGGATGTGCTTTTAAGCGCTGTTGATGGTAACAATCGACTTCTTTCCCTCCATTTCTCCTTCCTCCACTGTTTTTCCTCCTCGTTCAAAAGCTTGTATGCCGAAGAAAGTGCACTAGGTAGCAAGCACAGGGTGTGGACAAGATCGTGAAAATGAAGATTGTAATTTTCATTCGTGAGGTCGGCAGTAGGTTGTTGGTTGTGGTGACAGACAGCCGGTGCTTGACAAGATATAATATGAAGGGGGAAGGGAGTTCTAGCTTAAGCCATTTTACTAGTAGAAGAATCTTAGCAATCCCCCCATTGCCCACGCCACGGATATCAGTGTCACATCTTTTTGCCTGCCACCCCCCTTTACCGCCTGAGAAACGTTCCTTGGACTTTAAACATCTCTCTAGTCAGCTGTAGGTAATTCTGTGGACTGCCACTGCATTCACCAGCTCCTCCATGCTAAACAGTGGGTGAATTTTTATGTTTGATCCATTGGGTTTTCCTAAGGATTGGCTGGGAGTGTGGCAGCCTCGCACTGCACGGAGTACTCTTTGGAGGAAGTGCTCACAGCCACCAGCAACTGGGCGAGTGACAACCAGCTGAGGTCGGGCTCCTTTGGTGACGTGTACAAGGGCGTGTCTCCGCGCGATGGCACCACACTGTGGGCCGTCAAGCGAGCCAAGCTGCTGGATGCTGACTTCCAGAGAGAGGTGAGCTAAGTTGAAATCAGGGTTGATCATCAAAACCCAAACACGAACCCGTTCGGTCCGGCCAGCCAAAGAAATTCCTCGGCAGGAAGAAGGAACTCGGAAGGGGGGGAGTGGGGGAGAAAGAAAGATCATTGGTGCTGGCCGTGCCATACCTAATCCTGATTAAGAGTGCTGCTAAGGTAAGTTGTCGACCTAAATAGTGTGGCTTTACTTTCTAGATCTAGGTGATTGGGTTTCTTGTTCCAGTGCGGTTCAACGTGGTGTGGGAATTGTTGTTGCGACTCCATTTTGTGAAAGGTGTTGAATGTCGAGTTGCAATTTGCGGTCACGATTTCACCACGAAATCCCGAACCTTTTATTGTATTTGGGGAAAAAGTATCAACGGTCTGCCCAAAAAAATCGTGACCGAGCGTGAAGCGTCAAAGCTGTTGGAAGTGGACACTGGATTGGCCCGAAGTGGTCTCCCAAGGGCTACAGGTGTCGTTTTGCGGGGGTATGGGTATGGGCTACATGTTCTTTTATCCCAGTTGGTTAGCAAACTGGGATCTATCCCTACATGGTGCGGTGAGCGTGGAGGAATGGGGTTCGATTTTTGCTGTTGGCAGACTTCCTGTGCCCTAGTGGTGGGCCCTCTCAATGAGAGGAGTGATGGAAGTGGACACTTGAATGGCTCGAAGTGGTCTCTTCTAAGGGCTACATGAGTCATCCTGGAGGGGATGGGTGTGTTGACCCACCAAGAAAACATGTCATTTTATCCCAGTTGGTTAACGAACGGGGAGCTACCCCTGTAAAAACGTCTGCATCAAAACGCTTGACACAACCCCTCCAGAGCACCCATGCATCAATTTCCTGCATGTGAGTAACCTTTTCTGTCACGTGCTTTGACCGTGGTGCCCGTGTTTGTGAGAAACTGAAGTGTTGGTTTGATTAGAACGATGGTGGGTACATATAGGAGATGAAAAGTATGGGGAACTAGGTTGGGTACCCGCAACATTATTGGTGAGCCAATAGGAGTGGCCACCAAGAATGTTTTGAAGGTAGCTGCCAATTATTGGGGGGCCTGGTTCTCCCCGCCAATTATGGCAGAGTGGGGTTGGGACGCGCCCAACCAAAACTGGTTGGGGCGCTTTGGCCCAAGGTGTACACCCATGTTTGGGTGTTACACTTGCACATTTACAACCCAACTGATGCTATAATCTAAGACAACCCCTGAATCTTCAAGCCGGGAGATGGGGGGGAGGGGGGGGGGGAGGGGGGGGGGCGCTTGCTGCAGGTGAGGAGGCAAGCCAGCCGAAGGTGCCGCGGCGATGACGTCGCACGCCAGCCAGGAGCGGGGGCTGCTGCAGGTGAGGAGGCAAGCCAGCCGAAGGTGCCGCGGCGATGACGTCGCACTCCAGCCAGGAGCGGGGGCTGCTGCAGGTGAGGAGGCAAGCCAGCCGAAGGTGCCGCGGCGATGACGTCGCACGCCAGCCAGGAGCGGGGGCTGCTGCAGGTGAGGAGGCAAGCCAGCCGAAGGTGCCGCGACGATGACGTCGCACACCAGCCAGGAGCGGGGGCTGCTGCAGGTGAGGAGGCAAGCCAGCCGAAGGTGCCGCGGCGATGACGTCGCACGCCAGCCAGGAGCGGGGGCTGCTGCAGGTGAGGAGGCAAGCCAGCCGAAGGTGCCGCGGCGATGACGTCGCACGCCAGCCAGAGGGGGGGGCTGCTGCAGATGAGGGAGGGGCTGCTGCTGATGATGCGGCACGCCAGCCGAAGGAGGGGCTGCGGCGGATGATGCGGCACGCCAGCCGAAGGAGGGGCTGCGGCGGATGATGCGGCACCCCAGCCGAGGGAGGAAGGCCCTGAGGAGGAGGAAGCGAGGGGGAGGAGGGCTGGAATGCCCTGAGGAGGAGGAAGCGAGGGGGGAGGAGGGCGGGAATGCCCTTAGGAGGAGGAAGCGAGGAGGGAGGAGGGCTGGGAGGCCCTGAGGAGGAGGAAGCGAGGGGGGAGGAGGGCTGGAATGCTCTAAGGAGGAGGAAGCGAAGAGGGAGGAGGGCTGGAAGGCCCTAAGGAGGAGGAAGCGAGGGGGGAGGAGGGCGGGAATGCCCTTAGGAGGAGGAAGCGAGGAGGGAGGTGGGCTGGAAGGCCCTGAAGAGGAGGAAGCGAGGGGGGAGGAGGGGTGGAAGGCCCTGAGGAGGAGGAAGCGAGGGGGGAGGGGGGCTGGAAGGCCCTGAGGAGGAGGAAGCGAGTGGGGAGGAGGGCGGGAATGCCCTGAGGAGGAGGAAACGAGGGGAGAGGAGGGCTGGATGGCCCTTAGGAGAAGGAAGCGAGGGGGGAGGGGGGCTGGAAGGCCCTGAGGAGGAGGAAGCGAGAGGAGAGAAGGCCTGGAGGGCTTAAGAGGGAGAGCGGGGAGAGGAGGAGGCGGTGGGAGTTTGGAGTGAGTTGGCGGCGGCTAGTAGTCGCTGCCGCGGAGGTGAGATCGGTGGTGACGTCGTCGTAAGGGTCGCGGCAGCAGCAGGCGGCGTCGATGGTACATCGCGACGGTGTGAGGCCGTGACATGAGACCACGGCGGCTATGTAAGGGTGTGGTGGCGAAGGTGATAGCAGCTGTTGCAAGAGGCGACGAAAGCAGGTCGCGTGAGCGGAAGATTGCTCCGCGTCGGCGAAATGCAGTGGCGGCTGCGGATTGCTCCGCGTCGGCGGAAGGCAGTGGCGGCGGCGGATTAGGTCACGACGAGCGCCCACGTCCGTCGTGGCAGTGGCGCCCGTCCGCGATTTAGATCACAACGGTCAACGTGGCCGTCCCGTTGGTCACGCTAATCGTGCCGACGGTCGACGTGGCCGTTCGGACGGTCGCGCTCGCCGTTCCGACTGTCGCGCTGGCCGTTCCGACAGTCGCGCTGGCCGTTCCGACGGTTCTTAGGATCGTAAACACCTTAGTCGGCAATAGTCTACTTGCTATTGCTTATCGTGTTCTCCACGATCTCACGATTCCAATGATATGCGCAGCTCTGCTTGAAGTTGTCAATACACACTTCAGCAATTTTCAGAATCTGATTGGTTTCAATGTTGTCAATGTTGTTTTCCAGAATGAGTACAAGCAGTTTTATAGTCAGGCAATGCACAAAATGCGGTTCGTAACGTAACTTGTTTCCCAAACAATCTCGCGCGCGCCTCGTTTCACCCCGAGTCGCACACGGAACCGAACCGAATTCGGTGAACACTCCTCGAGTCCGATTCTTGAACCTTCTCGAACGCACCTTGGTCTCGAACCACATTTTCCCCTCGTCAATCTCATTCTCGATGCTTCTCCCTCTCTCTTCCTCCTAGCACATTTCTTCTTGATTCTTCTCCCGCTTCTCACGCCGTAGCCTCCAATATCCACCGTAGGCCGATTTCCACCGTTTCACCTAGAATCATCCAAGCGGTTCTGTTTCGCCGTCATTCCGCATTTCGCCGTAGGTTCCGTGGTTGGGCGAACCAACCCTAACAACGGTCGCGCTGGCCGTTCCGAGTCGCGCTCGCCGTTCCGACGGTCGCGCTGGCCGTTCCGACGGTTGGCGTGGCCTTCCGACGGTCGGCGCATTCGTGGGAGAGAGGGGAGGGCCGTGAGAGGCGGAATTGACCATAGGAAGGGGGGGAGGGGCGCTGGAATTTAGTGCAAGGGGAGGGGGGCCGTGACAGCGTAGGAGCGTGCTAGGCGCGAAGAGCGACGTAGTGTCGCGTGAGGGAGGGGGGGCGTAATGCGGCACGCGGTAGGTGCGGTCCTTAGGATCTAAGATGGTGCGAGCCGTAGTTGCTCTGATTCCATCTGAGAATCTGAAGTGTTGGTTTGATTAAAACGATGGCGGGTACATATAGGAGATGAAAAGTATGGGGAACTAGGTTGGGTACCCGCAATGTTATTGGTGAGCCAATAGGAGTGGCCACCAAGAATGTTTTGAAGGTAGCTGCCAATTATTGGGGGGCCTGGTTCTCCCCGCCAATTATGGCAGAGTGGGGTTGGGACGCGCCCAACCAAAACTGGTTGGGGCGCTTTGGCCCAAGGTGTACACCCATGTTTGGGTGTTGCACTTGCACATTGACAACCCAACTGATGCTATAATCTAACATGGCGCCGATGCCGGGAGGTGAGGAGGCAAGCCAGCCAAAGGGTGCTGCGGCGGATGATGCGGGTGAGGAGGCAAGCCACATGTGTTGAGGAGGAGGAAGCGAGGGCTGCATGTGTAACTTGTTGCGTGTGTATCTTATTGCGTGTGACACATCTCCTGTATCATACACACATCATCAACCCATGCAGTCAAGCAGTGGTGGAGATTGTGTTCTTTCCACCAATCCTGTAACAATACGTTCCTTCGTAGGTCCGACAAATGGCCGACAAGAACCATCCCCACATCGTGCGGTTGCTCGGGTTTGCTGTTGGAGGGGATATGAGGACGCGGCCAGAGCAAATCCTGATCTATGAGTTTGTTCCAAATGGCGACCTTGAAAAGTGGATCAATACAGGTACTAAATGCTTCGCTAGCAATCTTCTTCTTTTCCTGCCTCTATGACGGACGAAAGCTAGCTTAAGCTAACATTGTCCCACTCATTCTGCAGAAGCGCCCTCTCGCCTCACCTTGAAGCAGCAGCTGGATATCCTCATCGGTGCTGCACGTGGCTTGGCATACCTCCACAGTTTTGGCCTTGTGCACCGCGACATCAAGCCCGCCAACATCCTTCTCGGGGCCAACATGCAGGCGAGTCTGTCCAGCATCCTCTTCGTGCATTCACTAAGTCCCTTCTCATAAATCACACAGAGTTGAATGACAGATCATTAGCAAGTATGTGTTAGTTTTGTTTCGAATGTGTTGTAAAAACCACTTCATAACTTCAGTAAAATTTTGAGAGTGTAGTATGGGGCATATGTGTGGATGAGAGTCGAGTTATTGAGGTGATGGAGAATTTATTAAAGTATGTTTTACTACAATATTATATCCTTTCCAGGTGGCTTTCTGCTAAGGCTTACGCTTGTTATGGCGGCTATCCCATCCTTTGTGATCAGGCCAAGATTGCAGACTTCGGACTAGTGAGGGCGGAGGAGGGCAGCACAGTGGGCACGACTCGAGTGATGGGAACACCGGGCTATGTGGATCCCATCTACTTTCACACATCAAAGGCGACCAGCGCCACCGACGTCTATGGGTGAGCCATTGATGATGTCTGCTTGCAGTGATGATGTCTGCTTGCAGTGATGATGTCTGCTTGCAGTGATGATGTCTGCTTGCAGTGATGATATCTTCCTGCGCTGTTGATTTCTGCTTGCAGCATAATGCTAGGTGGGCGGTGAACTATTATTCTCAACATTAGGTTTCCTGAAGTAGAAAAAACTTCAACCCATTTTTGCTACTTTTTATTCAATTGCTTGTCCTTTAACTTGCAGCTTCGGTGTGCTCATGCTTGTGGTCCTCACGAAACGGAGCCGCCCGCTCCATACGGGTGATGGAGAGTGCGACCACATCCTTTCATGGGTGAGCGATATATTTCCCCACATGGCATCACTTGTGCATGTGGCAATGCTTTTGGCATGGAAGTGCTTCTTGCACTGTGTCTATACACTCTGTCAATCATGACGCGCGTCGTTTTTACCCTGTGCCTTTTTCACTGAATCAATTTGACATATGCCTTGTTTACCGTATTAACGTGTCAATCTGGACGTGTCGATTTCTGTGCCAATCTTGCTACTGCACTTTGACCGGTTGCCTTCCCTCAAGCAAAGCAGAGCCAACGGTCAACCTTCCCCTTTTGATGATGTCAAATCATGCTTCTTCTCTATTCCCTTCCCCAACTTTCCCAACCAATCAGGTGGAGGCGTGCATTTCCTCTGACACCCCGGCCCTCAAGGACCTGAGCATGGACGCCCCGGATGATGCTGTGCTGCGCCTGGCCAAGCTGGCTCTCAGTTGCACTAAGGAGCGCAGTGCAGATCGGCCAAGCATGGCAAGCATTGCCAACGAGCTGCTTGCTATCAGGAATGAGGTGATGGGAATAGAGGAGCTGGGTGCAGCAATTAAGGTGGACATGCAAGCCCAGAAGATGGAATCTGCAATTTCTAGTGAAAAAGGCATGGACGCTTGGCCTCCTGCTTGGAAGTTCTTATCAAAAGCGGCCAGCCGCTGGAGAAAGTTTTTAGGCGGTAGGAGCTACTGACTATGTACCTGGATATTGTTTATACATGACCAATGTGAGCAACATCCTGGTGTTGCTCAAGGTTGGGTACACCAGTAACAATAACAAAACTTTGTTGCAAGTATGGAAATACAAAGGGGGTATGTTTTTCAATGTGTGGTAGTGAGGAAGGAGTGCTTTGAGATTCAAAAACCAAATTCTTGCTACAAGAGAGTGATTCATTGCGTTTGCACCGCGTCCACGCTCGAGGCGCGACATGGATCAGGCCCTCATATTGGTTTTGGGACACGCTTTTATTTTAGTGTTTGTAGTGGAAAAACCGCGGATCATCTGTTGAGATGTGAACTTTTATGAGAAGGCATTCCTGTACGCTGCAGGGGCCTACTCTACCGAGTATGAAGTTGAGGAGACAGAAGGGTCGAAGCGACACCAGCAACCGTCATTTCAAGATCGATGCAGGCAGAAACATTTGAAGTGAAAAGAGCAGGAACATGTTTGAAACGGGTTCCGCGCGCACGGTTTGAATTTCGCTGTAATAAGGGAATGTACCCCTTAGAGTTAGGTATGATCAAAAGGCCCGACCCCAGGGCTGACGCTATCAGACTATTTAGTCTGATTAGTCTGACGAATCAGACCTTGCACTTTGTGGAAAATGGATTTCCAGAGAAGTCCATTTTTCATCACTGAGTACCTCAGACTTATTGTTTTGGGGCCCCTGATTCCATGTAATAGGCTTCAGACTTAGTCGTTTCTGGAGTCTGACTCTACAGAGTATCTATTCTGTGGTCCCCGAAGCGAGTTTATCAAGACGAAGATTCCTGGAAATTTCATCCCGATACCCACATTCGAGTTGGCAGAGAGTGCTACCACGCGAGCAAAGTACACTTCACCAGCTGGGGATACCGAATACACCCTATCTGCGACAAAGACACGCATTTTAGATTGTTGCGTGATTGGGGTAACCATTGAAGTTTGAAATAGAAAAGGGCCAAAATGCGTTTAATCGCTCAACGAATCGGAGAACTTTACAGACAATCGAGGGGGGGGGGAGGGTGGGGTGGATATCTCGCCACAAGTAGGATATCGAACTTTTTGGTACTGAAATCGGGTGTTCCCCGCGCCCAAACGTGTGAAATCGTCACTGCCAGGCGCGCCACCAAGAAACAATTCGTACCTACTGCCAGCTCATCTTTGCAGCAGCTCGGCCAGTTGGCTTGGCACTTGCAAGCAAAGTTCTGTAGCGCCAGGTCGCACTGTGCCAGGTACTGTACATACACAACATCTAATACATATGTACAGTGATTTTTCCCGCGGATCCGCGCACGTGAAACAGGCGACGGGACGGATTCGGGCGGGAAAGGCGGACACGCGTCCGCCAGTGAGCGAGGGAGGCTGCATGCCGCGAGGGATTCCCAAGGGACCCTCGCTGAGGAAAAATTTTTCCTCGCCCCGACGGCCCTAGGGAATACCTACGGGTTACCGAAGGGATTATTGGCCGTAGCTAACCCCAGGGGGAACCGAACTTCCGCCATCGCCAGCCACGTGGCTACGTCGTATGCGTCGTTAATATAAAAGTGGCAAAGAACAAGAGGCTGACGAACAAAAAGCGAAGAAGACGTATGCTCGCAAGCGTAAAACAAGAACAAGAACAAGAACAAACAAACAAACAAAAACAAAACAAAACACACGAACAAGAACCCACCAGCGCGAAAACTTATGCTGTAGAGAGGGATTCATGAGGTCGGGCTGGTCGTAACGAAAAGAAACCCTGTACTTTGGTTGCAGTCAAAATCCGCGAACTGACAGGCTAACATCGCCCCTGGAAATATCTGTCGTAAACGCACAAGTCCCCCTTCCCGTTCGCGGGCTTCAACGCCCCGGTTTTCGCAGGCGCGAAAATACACTGGAACTTCGAGTCCAGCAAGGTTTCGCGCCTTCGAACCTTGTGGAACATGCTCGCAATAGCACGAAAAACATGCTCGCAATAGCACGGAAAATCTAGCTGTAGTGGGAAGTCAGGAACCGCGAATGAACCCGCGAAAAGCGGCCATTTTTCCACCCGCGAAAACTACCCGAAAAACGAATCGCTATCCAGGTCAATTGTTCACCAACGCGAATATGGTACAAGCCGAGAGCACGAGTGGGGTCATTTAGAATCGGAGCCCCAAAATTACTGGCCATCCCGCGGAAAAGGACGATCACATAAATCCACGAAATCAAGGGGCGACTTTCACACTTGCGTGGATGTCACGAAAAACCCCACGAGCAGTTTCAAACTCATGGGGATTTCCAATTTTGCTCCTAAAAAGAAATTCGTAACTTCCACACCCACGTGTACTTACGAGACCTCCGAATGCCGTGGACAATTTCACACTTGCGGGAATTCACGACTACCCGTTTTAATAAATTCTCGGCGAGGTTCCGCCAGCACGAAAGTATTCATGGTGGCTGTATTGCCCTTTTGATTCTGTGCAGAATCACAAACGGGCTCACTTGTGAGTTGGCAGGAAACACGAACACCATCGTACGGTGCAAAGCGAAACCGAGTGGGTCAACACCCAAGCACACCCATTGAGAATCTGTTTTAACCATAAAAAAAGCGGGGCATCCTGAAACCGCGGTTACAAAATGGCAGCTCCTTGAACGTTTCGTGCCTTAAAAGGTGTGTGATTCTTAGCAAAGGCACGAAAATGTCACCCCCGAAAATCATATCGAAGGGGTCGAAAACACGAGTTTAACGAGCAAAACGGTTCACTATGTGCCAAAAAATCGGAAAGGGGGGCCGGGGGGGACCAGCAACCAGACGAACTACACGAAAATACCCACGTTAAGCCACAGACATCTAGGTAGGCGCGAAACGGCAGCTCTTTGAACGTTTCGCGCCTATTAAAAATGTGTGATTCTTAGCAAAGGCACGAAATATCCCCTCGAAATTCTTAAGCAGTCTTGGTTTCGGCGCGAAAACTTGGATTCGTGCGAAGACTTGAATGCCCACGTTTTTCCGATCTTGAAAGCGAACGAAGGCGCGATTTCAAGTTTCCGCGCTTAAAATCGTGATTTTCCCGTGTCCACTCCCTCTCAACGGGAAAACAATTTTTGTTGTTCCTGTCGTCTGATGAGCGAAAGTGCTGGTCTCATGGGTTTCGATTCGAAGGGCACGAAAATTTCGTCCCCACGTCACTGGGGTTTTCGTGCGCAAGCACCCTTGCATATGATAGATGAGTACTTCCACATTTGCCTTCGGTCCTCGCGTGTGAATATTCCGAAATGACTGTACTTTTCAATTCGGGCAACATTCTCGGTTCGCATCCTAAGCGTCGCCACTCTGCCTGTACACTGAGTACTTAGTCGAACTGCGCGAATCTGGGCCCGAAACCACCGTTTGAATTGTGTTTGCTTCGATTTTTCCCTTTTTGAGCTCAAGCGAACACACACGCGTACATTAGCACAGGGATAGCCGTTGAAATACCCTGTTCGCACAAAGCATACAGGCATTATCGGGTGCGAACTTCCCTTCCGTTTCAGGGGCGAACACCCGTCCGATTTTCGCGGGCGCGAAAATACACAGTGGGAAAAAAAATTGGAGCAAAAAATTGCATGATTCGCTCACAAAGATTTCTGCTTTCCTATTCACGCCTCGTGTTTGCAGCTATGGCCGTGTTTCCCTGTGTCACGTGCCACGTACCACACTGAATGCTTTTAGCATGTATACAAACAAATTTAGTTTACGATAATTTTCTCAGTGCCTCGATGGTTATATTTCCTACCCTTTCGTAACCAGTTTTCCTTTACGTTCGTAACGAGTTTCGCATACGCGATTGCAGGGAATTCGAGTTTCCCGGGTAACCCGGCCCACTGTGAGCTGAGTCAGCCAGTTCCCCACCCAGCTGCGTCATTCGGTTCAGAGCTGAGTCAGCGAGTGGTCCCCGCGGGCAGCCGAGGCCCGGCGTCCCGGTCAGGGCCCGAAGGGCCAAGCCTCGATTTCCTCGCCAGGAGGGTCGGGCGAGTTGGGCGGTTGACAGGGCACTTCCAGTCTGGCCTCGCTCGCGTGCCCGAGGTGACGACGGCGAGGGCATCGGGCCTCCTGCGGCCCCTCCCTCGCGGAGGAAACGACGCCCTCGGCCCGGATGGAGCAATCGCGCACTGCCTGCTGTAACAATCTGCCGAGTCACACGCCATTCACACCAGCCAGTCCAGAATGCCACCGACAAGGGCCGGGCAGCGGTGTGCATGAGGACTACCGTAACCTTGATGCGGACCCACCGACACTGACTAGTCAGACACGCTGACTTCAGAACACTGACCAATCAGAGTGCCTGATTTCTGGCCGAAGTGCCTTCAGAGTGGAAAATCTTTTTGGGGGTTGGAATCAGAGTGCCTAAATTTGAAACGTCAGCCCTGCCCGACCCGACCCGACCCGACCCGACTTGGGCGAGCCAGCCGGGTTCCGGGTCGGATCGGGTCGGGTCGGAACATCAAATATCTTTGGCCCGACTTGTGTATCGGGTGCCGGGTCAGGCTTGACCCGTCCTCGGGTCGGGTCGGGTCGGAGCTGGGTCGGGCTGGGTCGAGCCGACTCCCACCGACAGGGTTAGAGGTTCTCTTTATTACTGTGCAATGTTACATTTATTGAAAGTATGTAATATTAATTTATGCAACATCCTCAACTGTGTAAATAAACTACTCAATGTTGCTTACTGTGCTACGTGTTTAGCAAAAGGCTAAAAAGCTAGCAGTCACCTAGTAGTTTGAGTACTAACCGATTGGCTGAGTACTAACTAAACATTCTCGCAGGTTCTAGGGTAGATTATTACGCCAATGTTGCTTGTTGGGTGGCTGCTGGCGTCACTAGCTAGGTAACTTAACTTAATCCAGGTCGAAATGCTAGTCGCTGGGAAAAGTAGCATGTGCGATTGCGATTTGGATGAAATTGTCGAGAGGAAACCCTCGGGTCGGGCCAGATACCCGACCTGACAAAGGGTGCGGTACCCAAAACCGGGCCGGGTCCATAATCGGGTCAA